ATTATTATTATTATTATTATTATTATTATTATTATTATTATTATTATTATTATTATTATTATTATTATTATTATTTACAACAATTATTATTTACAATTAATTAAAGGGTATAAAATTAGAAGGAGGTGCCGAAATGGCTGATTCAATTCGAAAAATAACAAGTGTAGGAATACCAGTGATAGGTCACATAGGTTTAACACCCCAGCGACAATCATCATTAGGTGGATATCGTGTTCAAGGAAAAACTGCACAAAAAGTTATTATCAATTTATTTCTCTTTTATTTAATATTTTAATAATATAATTAATTATATTATTGGTTATATTGAAATTCAGGCATTGAAAATTATAGAAGATGCTTTAGCTTTACAGGAATCAGGATGTTTTGCCATATTACTAGAAGCAATGCCTGAACCTGTTGCAACTACTATTACAAAAAAATTAAATATTCCCACTATAGGTATTGGTGCTGGTAATGGTACAAGTGGTCAAGTTTTGGTACAACAAGATATGTTGGGAATTTTTGATAGATTTGTTCCAAAGTAATTTATTATTATGCTTTATTATTTTTTTTTTTTACTTAGAAAAATTATTTCTAATTTCTAATTAATTTATTATATATATATTTAGATTTTGTAAACAATATGCAAATCTGGATAAAATAATTATTGAAGCTATAGAGAATTACCGAGATGAAGTTAAATCAAGAGTGTTTCCTGCAAATGAAAATACATATCCTATGGATGAAAAAGAATTGAATAATTTCTTTGAAATTTTAAAACATAATGATAGTAACAATAATAATAAAGGAAAATAATAGATACAATAGATAATATTTATTTATTTATTTAATTTATTTATTATTGTTCAATTTATTTATTATTTGTTTAATTTATTTATTATTATTTAATTTATTTATTGTTTTTTATTAATTTAATTTCAAATATTATTTCAAGTGTATATTTATAAGTATCATATTTCTTAGAATAACTTATCTTAAAATTATCTTCAAAAAAAATAATATGTAAATTTTATTAGTAAAGTTTATTTTATTGTATTTTCAGTGAAAAAAATAAGTTTTAATTGAAATACTTTAGCTGCAAAAAAAGTAAATATATCTTTTTTTCCTTTGCTTTTTGGAATTTTATTAGCAAGAATTATAGTATTGTTTTCTAAGTTTTTTACTAGTTTTTAATAATAAGAATTATGATATTATTTTTTCTTATATTAATTTCAAGAATTATAATATTTTCTTGGATTTTAATTAGTGATTTAAGTTAAAGGATTTAAAAGGTTTAAAAGAATTTAAGACACAACCATTAATTAAATACAAAAGAATCACTGTATTGAATAATAATTTCTATATTATAGATTAGTTAAAATTAAAATTTCTACATCATAAATTAGTTAAAATTGATCATCCTATTTTATTTTATATAATAAATCAGCTAAAATCAGAATTTCTTATTGCATTACCTATTCTTTTGTGTTTAACTTGTAAATAGATTAAACTAAAAGATAAAATCAAAGTTTTCCACAAGCCTTAGGAACTTGTGAATTCATCAAGCCTGGTCAAGCCAACCAAGCTAAGTGTAATATTTTTTATTTTTTATTTATTTTTATTTATTTAATTAGTACTATAATTATTATTTTATTTTATTATTTTATTATTTTATTATTTATTATTATTATATTATTATATTATTATTAAATCATTTTTTTATTTTTATATTTTATATTAAATTAGATTTGATTTCTAAATTACAGAATATTATTTATTTCTTATTTTATTATTTGTAATTTTGATTATAAATTACATAAAATCTTAATAAAGAAATCAGGAAATTGTTTTCTGTTTAAATCAGTATTTTATTTGTTTTTTTTTATTTCTTGGTGAAAATAACTTATTAATTTAATTCACAATGAATATAACCAATTTGTTTTTGGTAATATGAAAAGAAAATTTTTTTTTTATTTCATTTTTTTACTCTTAACCTTTGAATAAAACAATATTTTTATTTTGTTTAATCTTTTAAACAAATTATAATTTTATTTATTTTATATTGTTAAAAATACTCATACCTTTAAAACTCTATGACCTATGTAATTGCCCATACCATGGAAAGAAATTACTAATTTTTAAATGGGAAGATTGATCAAGTAGTAATTTCATTTCAAAAAGAGTTCACCACATTAAAACTTAACTCTATTATATTTCTTCAACTTTAAAAATTTATATTTAATTACTTTTATTCAATTACATTTTCTCACATAATATTTATATCACTAAAATTGCTATAATCATTACATTACTAAAGATCTAATAATAATAAAAGAAAAAAAATATTAGTAAAATATAAATTTTTATATATATTTAAATTAAAACCTTATTATATAAATAATAGATCTAGAGATTGGACAAAAATTATCTTGGGAAATCTTCTTACTAAAAGAAATCAAATTCAATTAAGAATACTACATCACAATGACAAAGATTCAATTTAGAAAGTTTTTCAACAACTTTAATTGAAACCACCACTAAAGTTTGAGTATTAGAAGATACCAATAAATCACCTGGACAATTACAAAATAATAATTTAAAGAAGTTAGTGAAAAATCAAGAGATTGATAATTTAATTTTTGATTTTAATAATTTAAATATAACTTTTGAACCTAATAATTTAATATAACCCCAGTCATAATAATTTAAATATTACCTCTAATCTTAATAACTTTAATCTTAATAATTGTAATACTAATTTAACAAATATGGAAAATTTATTAAAACAACTTCTTGAGCAAATGGCAATATAAATTAACCTGATAGGAAACTTAACAATAACTTTTGTAAATTAATCCAATCAAAATCAAAATTCACAAAGACAATCAAACTAAGGTGTACTCCTAAAATTACTGTACAACTTTTTATATTTTGTGAAAGAGCTGATGAAAATATAGTTGTATAGTTATTTCAAGTTGAAATTGTATTCAATATCCAAGGCATTGTAAATCAAGATATTAAAATAAATTATATTGCTACTGGATTCAAAGAATCTGCTTTGGCATGGTAGATCAAATGAATAATTACAAATAATGAAACTCATATATATAATAGTTGGGATGAATTTAAAAAAGTATTATAACTTACTTTCAACTTGAAAATTATCAATAACTATTATATCAATAATTAAAAAAATTAAAACAAACTAAATCAATATGAGATTATATAGCTGCTTTTCAAAATATTGTTGAACAAATATAAAATATACATGAAGATGATAAAATAGATAGATATATAGAAGGATTAAAACTAGTTACAAAGAAGGAAGTGATATATAAGACTTCTGCTACTTTTGTTGATTTGTTGATGTAATTATATGTGTGACTAATTATGATACCACAATTTTTAAAATTTCTACATTCAAGAAATCAAATTTTACCTCTTGAATCAACCATTCAAGATGAAATAATGCCAGTGAAGTTGTAGATATGAATTTAGATACAATAGATATTTAAAAGAAAACAAATTATCAATGAAATAAATATTAAAATTTTAATCAATTAAAAAAAATAAGATGGAAAATAATAACAACCACCCTAATAATAATCACCATTCTAACTCTAACCCTCAAAACAAAGTAAAATGTTTTAATTGTGACAAATTGAACCATATGACTAAAGCTCCCCATAGGCCGAGCCCGGCCTGGCCCTACAGGGCCTGGCTCGAGCCTTAAAAATTTAGGCCTGGCTCAAGCCTGGCCTGAGTTTAAATTTCAGGCTTGGCT